TGTCAGGTGCATTCCAGTTTTTGCATTTGAACTCCTATGTCGGATACTGCTACTTCATAACTGAACAGAGGCGACTGCTTTGCAAATGAGTCTCACTCATTGTTAGGTGGCGGTAGGGTGGTGATTCTTGATTCTCTCCATGTGCCATTTTCAAGTTTTTTGTTTATAGAATTGTAAATGATATTAAAATTTATGAAAGTTTCGACTTTTATCCACCACTAATGCTTTTCATGTCTTCAACGTTGAGCCGCCAAAAGAGCTTAACGAGTCTCAAAAATACTTCATCTACTTCATAACAGATCAGACATGGCTTTTATGCGAACGAGTGTTAGGGTTAGGTGGAGTTGGGGTGGGTGGTTCTCTCCATGTGCTTTGTTTGAACCTTTGAAAAAATAAAATTATTATTATATAAAAGTTTCAAGTTTCAACTTCTACCTTTCCCCCCCCAAATACATCGTATGGTCATTATAGCTGTATTTGGGGTATCTTTCAGTCTAAATACAGCTGTAATGACTGTGTGTTGTATTCAGGTGAAGAAGGTAGCTATGGCTACCTTTAGACTTACTTTATTAGCTGCTTAGACCCTAATGAGCCCTGGTAGCCTATGAGTTAGGTCACCAGTGCGGGAGAGGGGCAAACTTTACCCCATTTTGATCACCAGTCTAAGGTGGGGAATAGGAGGCCTACGCTTCCCTGGAAAGGGTGGTTTCAGTCATTTGTACTCGTATAATGGCTCATGGAGGGGTAGGATTCAAAGATGAGGTCCCGCCGTCCCAGGTAGCGGTGTCAACCTACTGCTCCTTGAGTGGATTTTCCCTTGGGGTAGGTTGGCAATTTGACATTGACTGTGTCGATGTGCCATGACATTGACGAGATAGGCTTCCCCTAGGTGATGAATTGTCACAGACGGGTTGATGGGTGGCAGTACGTGTGGCATGGGGGGGAAAGAGTCGATGGATGACTAATATGACTATACTTTAGTGTATTAGTAATATAAATTATATAATAATTTAACTATTTTTATGGTGCTGCCCCCCCCCCCCCCCCCCTCCCGGCCCGCTTTTTCTTCCGCTCCAAACCACCAATGCCCTGGCCCTAATTGTTTTGAGGCCTACGGGGGCAGTCTGGTAATGTCCTCGATGAAATTTTGATGTGCCATTTCTCGTCTTGGTGCGTACCCTCACTCGTGTACCAGGTACTTCCCTGACAAGGGTAGTCCGACATAATTTGGCATGCCCCCTGTGGTGGAAGTGCCTTTTTGAGGGAGACCACCCCCGTGGCACATATGGCGCTCAAGCCTCCAGAATGTATGCGTACCTGAAGCCTTCATGAGAGAGTAGAGACAGGTGACAAATAAACTTGAGGGCGTGCAATTATCCGTCCACGCCCTAAAAAAAAAAAAAAAAAACAAACAATCTTCTGCCTGGTAATCCTCCACATGGCAGACACATTATAATGCCGCATTTATGCTGCTTCCAGAACGAAAAGAATGTCGCCATTTTTGTCCCTTTGTTTTTTCAGAAATTCAGCACCTAGCCTGAAATGGATGTGGTGTTTCTTTGTTAGTTTGGTGGTTTGTTTTTTCACTGGCACAAGTCCCTCTCTCTGGGAACAGGCATTACCATTCGTGACTCTTTCCAGTTCCGTCAG